AGCCCAGGCTGGCCTCGAACTCACAGAGATTCGCCTGCCTCTGCCTCCCGAGTGCTGGGATTAAAGGTGTGCGCCACCACCGCCCGGCGACCTTGAATTCTTGATACTCCTGCCTTTGCTTTCCACATGTTAGGATTATGACATGAGTCAGCATGCTCAGCTCTTCTAGCTATCATTTATCAATCAATCAATTGTACTGTTCAACATTTTCCTAACAATAGTAATGCATAATAGTGAAGGTAGATATTCATGTTTGATTACTTACTTTAAAGAGAATTAACTTCTTCCCATATGTTCACTAATAATTTAGGTAGTTTCCTCTGGTCTGCCTTTGTGTATTTGTGTGCTGGGACTGAGCTGAGCATCATCTGTTACTAACTACTGAGCTACACACACAGTTATAGCTCCTTTCCTTCTAAATCTTCCATGGATCTTACAAGTGTTGGCTCTCACATTTCACTCCACTTTCCACCCTCTGTCCTGTCTGCTTCCAGAGCTCACAGCTTTCTCCTTCACCTCTTCTTTCATTGCAATCCTGCACATGAACCTTCTGTGTCAGGCAAACTTGTTCTGGAGCCATGTTTGAATGCCAAGAGGAAAACACAGACTCTCCTCAGTTTACAGTACTACACATTTGTGATCTTTACTCTGCATTATTTCTGTAAAGAAGTGCATTCATATTAAAGAGAACTGCACACACCTACCCAAGGTCTTTAAAACCCACCACTGCTCCCATTCCTCAGTGTTGGCCGCTTTCTACTGCACTCGGATAAGGATACAAACCAAAGAGAGGATAAAACAGTAACCCTTCAGCTTTCAGCTTTGAGCCGTTCAGATCCTGAGTATACAGGGGGTCCTCAAGAGTAATTTTTGCAATAGTTAATGAACATTTAATTCTTGTATACACATCTATACAGATATGGGACATGCATGCCTACAGTCTTCTCCTCAGTTACTCCAGAATATAGTCATTTCAAATCCATGTACTTCTCTTTAAGTTTCTAAACTAATCCCCGTAGCTAACTCACCCTGATATGTGAATATGAAATTATTTTTCTTGGTTAAACCCCTTTACTAGGAAATTTGTTAGAGAATGTGTGCAGTCTGCTACCTATTCCTAGAGAGTTTTGTTTTAATTTTTCATGGCACACAGAAAATTAAATTGATAACAATCAACTTATCAAACTTTCTCATTTCATTTTTTTAATTTCTCTCTCTCTCTCTGTGTGTGTGTGTGTGTGTGTGTGTGTGTGTGTGTGTGTGTGTGTGTGTGTGAAGGTATATCTACAACTGCGTATGAGTGCTTGCATAGACCAGAAGAGGGTATTAGATTCCGTGTCCCTGGAGACACAGGTGGCTGTGAGCCATCCTACAGTGATGCTGGAATCAAGCTATGGGCCTCTGCAGAAGCACAAGCACTCTTAACCGCTGAACCACCTCTCTAGACCCATATGTCTCTCTCTCTCTCTCTTTCTCTGTGTGTGTGTGTGTGTTGCACAGTGAATCCTTCTGTGTATGTGTGTTAGGTTTAATAATGGGAAACATAGCTTGTGTTCACGTCATATTAGTTAGCTTGTAAAGCTAAATTAAGTAAATAAATTTATAATTCTATTTCATGGAAAATAAAGAAATTGGCTAGGCTATTTTAGTCTTGTGTGACAGAGAAATATAAAGAAATGTCAAATTGCTTTCTTAAGGTCAATGACAATATATTGGAGATTACTTCTTCACAGTTATGATCTAAGTTTTATACCTGGTATATATGATCATTTTTTTTGACACTTACTCTGTGAGTTCAAAAGTGAAGTACTAAGTACACTTGTGTACTCACTTGTATTAAGAAGTAGCAAGACTTTCATACAGAGGAATTCCTCATGGGTCACTTGAAGCTTGACGAACTCCTGTGGGATTTGCCACATGGTAAGGCACAGTGAGTAGAAGGATGACTCCTTCATCCTCTGTCTTGCAGCACACACAGCACATAAAAGAGAACCAGCACAAAATAAAAACCACAGCCAGTCACCCAGGCAGTAATAGAACTTGTCAGTGAACAAGATTTTGGTAATTGTCTTTCCTATTGTTGAATTTGCTGATATATTTAATAAGCAGACAATATTTGGAATTTTAAATGTTTCTAAACTTTTTCATGGAGTGGCACTAAATTTTTAAGGCAAAGAAAATTTAAATATAAAAATGACATTAAATACACATTGATCAAAGTTAATATTGTTTCTTGCTTTTATCATCACACTTTAAACACCTAAATCGAGTAAAAGCAATGTTGTAGGAATTGAGCATTTGGAGCCAGGAAATGCTTCATTACTGAATAATATGTGTATGTATAAATATAATTTTGTGCACAGTTAATGGGTTGCTTCAGTTTATGAAAATTTACAACACTGTGACTTTTTCTAGGGAATATGTGTGGTGACACTAAAACAAATGGAAGAATGGTATTGAACACTAAATAATTGAAAAGGTTAATATAAATTCTGAAGATGGAGGCCCCTTGTTTGAGGCATTCTTTCAACCATGTGCTATTTTGTGATGTCAACTTTGGTCAACGCAGCTAAAGGAATAGTGGGATGAAGACAAGATACCCACACTGAAGGATTAAGGTTAATCCTGGCCCCTCACGTCTGTGCCAGGTTATCCAGTTCTCCTGAGCCCCAGTTTCTTGAACTGGAAAGATGAAGGATGCTGAGTCCTTGCCTAAGTCAAGGGACTATGAGTTAAAGAAGAATGAATGGAGCATGAAGATTGACAGCTGTGAAGACATTAGACAAGTGTCAGTTATTAACTTAGATGCTCACAACTTGACATTCACTATTAGAACAGTGTAGACAACACCATGGACAAAGTCTTACCATCAGAAGACTACATGCAGAAAACTACTTAGATATAATAAATCACACTAAAATATTTATAAAAGATTTTATGCTTAATTTCTTAAAGTAAACCAGTACTGTCAAACAAAAATATTTCTGATATATTTCATAATCTCCACAAGTACAAAAATCTGAAAACTTAATTTGATATGATAAATGTTTAATTTTATATTGAGATGCTCATTAAGTTTTCAAAAAAATTAAAAATATTAATTTGAGATAAAAATACATTTCTAGACAGGAAAGAAGGGCTCTAAATATCAAATTAGTGATACAAAGGATTTAACTAAATTTTTCAAACAAATAAACATAGATTAAAAACTTTCTAAAAGGACTCCAAACTCTCAGAAAATAATGGCAAGGATTAGCAAATTGGATTGCATGAAATTAAGTTGCTTCTGTACAGGAAGGAAAAAAATTAAGTAAAGAGAAAGCCTAAAGGATAGGAGAAAATCTTTGTGAACTACATGTTTGACATAGGATTAATATCTAGACTATGCAAAGATCATAAACTAAAAATAAAGAAATCAAATAAACCAATCAATAAATGAGCTACTGAAATGAACAGACAGTTCCCAAAAGATGGAGGACAAATGGCCAATAAACATATGAAAAATGTTCAACCTTATGAGTCACCTAGAAAAAGTTAATTAAAGCTATAGTGAGATTCCATCTTACCACAGTCAGAACAGCAGTTAGAAAAACAACCCATGCTGTTGAGGATGTTGGCAGAAGGGAGCTCTTATACACTGCTGCTGGGAATATAAACCAGTCTAGCCACTATGGAAATCAGTATAGAAGGTCCTGAAAACACTAAAAGTAGATCTACCTACGACCCAGCTAAAAAAAATACTTCTCAATATTCACCCAAAGGCCACCAAGTCAACACATTGTAAAGACCCTCCCCTCCCATCAATGGTTATTATTGCATGATTCACAGTAGCCAGGCTATATATGGATAAAGAAATCACGCTGATGTGTGTGTGTGTGTGTGTGTGTGTGTGTGTGTGTGTGTGTGTGTTTCATATATACTTCATATCTATAATGGAATTTTATTCAGCTATGAAGGACAAAACTATGTTGTTTTTAGATATATAGATACAACTAGACATCATATTAAGCACATTAAGTTAGACTCTGTAACATAAATACATTTTCTCTCATTTGTGGATTCTAGATTATACACACACATATATATGTATGTATATATTGTGTCATGTATGTATATATGACACAATGACACCAAAGTAGAAGAAAACTGTCCAGAGAAATAAAGAGGGCTGGCAGGGGTGGGGTGGGGGTGGGTAGAGATGGAGGGCAATGTTAAAAGTAGATACTTATTGAAAAAGTTTTTATGAACCCCAGCACTACACACAGTGGATTTGGATGAGTAAGTGGTGGTGGAGTCAGTTATGACGGCCTCTCCTGCCAAGCCTGCCAACCTGAGCTCAACCCCCAAGATTTCCTCAGGCTGTCCTCTGACTTCCATGCTGTGCTGTATGTGTGCCCACCCACACTCATAATACACAAAATAAATAAACAAATAAACATGTAAAATATACACTCATATATATATATATATTTACATGAATAAAGAAAGGCAACTTTATTAAGAGAGGTAATTCTCAGAAACTATTTCTGGAAAATTTTGTTGTTTATGGCACTAAACATAGGATCATCTTTTGGAATGTAGTTTTTCAAATCATGCTGTGGACATCCCTGTACTAATAACAAAAGCCACAAAGTCACAACTTACTCATTTAGGATTAGATCAGGTGCAAAATATAGCATCTGCCCGCTAACATGCTTGTAGGACCTCCAGCCCAGGCCAAACACCATCAGACTCATCCAGGAGTACTGAATCAGGGTTATCTGGTCATCAATGTGCAAGTTCCGGAAACCTACAAACATTTTGAACAAAAACAATCACAGAAATCATGTGAACAATGTAAAAAAATCTGTAGGAAATTGAAGCAAGATACGGACATGTTTCCCTAAAAGTCAGGAAATACTCATAAATAACACAGCCTAAAAAGAGGCAAAGAGGGAGCCAGTTCATACATCATGAATATTCGCCACTGTGATTTAATGCTAGTGGAAATGGCTAACTGAATTAATCATCCATTCTGGATTTAGGCAACACCCATATACTGAGATCCATTTTCATGCTATATACTATGTTAAAATGATGGAAGTCAATGCTGGGATCCACACATGGGTGAAAACATGTGGCACTTGTCTTTCAGTGTCTTCTTGACATGATATCCTGTACTCATGAACCCACAACAGCTGTGGTGCCTGCATAAGACCTGTCCAAGATCATGCCTGTACGCAGTCCAACCTGGAGAGGGGGGACTCAGAAGCTCCATCCCTTGCTGAGGACCTATAGACAACTGATGGCTTTTCAGGGAAGGAAAATCAGTTTCCATTAAGGATGTGGCCCCTGGTAGGTCAACCAGACTCCAGTGAATGGCCTCATACCAATGAGTATATGAAACAATTTAGGATAAAAGTACCAAATTTTGGACATGTCTGAGAGACCTCAAGAATATTGATTGCAGTTGCATATATGGACTTGAAGCCTGTGGTACATCAGGGAGAGAATATGAATGTTAATGTCACTGTAACTTATAATAGCTGAATAACAAAGCTGGATTTAATATTTTTGCTTAAGATTAAGTAAAAATAAATGTTTTAATGTGAGCATCAAACCCTTTCCATGAGCTCTTTGAAAACCACTTATTTTCCTTAAAACTCCACAGACATCCATTTACAAATGACCTAACTTACAAATAAAACCAGAGTAACACTTAATCCGTTAGCTATTGAAGGAGAGGGCATTTCTTTCTCGCTTAGATACTCAGGTTCTCTGCACATGCTCCTGATGGCCCCATCATCATGGGAATAATTAAGGTAGACACGGGTTCTTTGCACATGCTCCTGATGGCCCCATCATCATGGGGATAGTTGAGGGATGGCACTTGTCTTAGCGTTCCTTAGCCTCCCTAGAGATGAAAACATGAGGGTGTCCCCTAACCAGCGGTATCCCAGCAACCTCCTGCTTCTTTGAGGCACATTCTTCAGTGTCTGCTCATTCTCCATCTCATTCTGTTCTGTCTCTGTTTGACTATTGAGTCCTTCTGTTTGGAGTGTGGTAACAGTAAATGCTACTACCAGGGAAAATGGATAAGACCCCTGCTGCTCTCAGCATCATGTTCAGTGTGGTCCGTGAAGCAAATGCTACCAGGATATTGAATCTGAATCAGCAACGACAAGGTGTGGTTATTTACTGTGAGTGTGGCAGAGGGTACTGATGGGTCCGAGGGATGCATCTGTGACACTGGACCATTGTCCCATCACAGATGTCTCAGCTTGGGCCGTATTCTGAACCTGCCCTTCACCTCAGTTGAGTGGATGCCTGGTGCCCCTGGAGGTTGTGTTCCCTCTTTCCTGATTTGAGATCCAAGAGTTTTTAGTTTTTTCTTTCTTTCCTCTCTCTCTCTCTCTCTCTCTCTCTCTCTCTCTCTCTCTCTCTCTCTCTCATCTTTTTCTCTCTGATTAGAATCCTTTGTTTTCCTGTGTTATGATGGTGTTGGCATCCACGAATCTAATTTACTTTGGGGCAGAAAGACCCAGCCAAGAAAAAATGTGGCATACTATTTTCACAATTTCTTATCTTCATAAGCCTCATCTACTTCTTCAAGTTCATACATAGCTATATGGTATGTCTATCAGAAAAAGTATGAATTTTAACACATAGTGTAAGTGTTAAAGTATACTTAGTATACTTTACTAAAATGTAATTATAGTATAAATTTAACACATAGCACATAAGTATTGCTTGTCACTGATTATTCAGCAAAATGGCTAATTGATAAAATTCAGAATCAATTGATAAGAGATGTGAATTTTATTTATTTATTTATTGTTTACCATGAAGACTCAAAGGAGGCACATTTAGAGCTGTGTGTTGGTATGACTTCAAAGGCCCTGCAGAAAGGCTTAAGCTCCACTGCTGACTCTAGCATTGACTGAATGCTACACTGAACAACTTAGGCCATAAGGATAAAGATGCTAATTCAACCAGTTGCTAAAGATTCAGATAACTGTGCATTTTGTTGAGGAATATGCAAATATTTATTAACCCATCAATGGATCTGGCAATAGACTGCTCATTGGATTAATAACTATAAGAAAGCAACTAATCAATTTTAAAAGAAATTTCCAATTTAAATGAACCATACATGGTATTGTGCTCTCGTAATCTCAACACTGAGGAGCTGAAGGCAGGAGGATAAAGAGTGCAAGTTTATCCTTGGCTACAGATTAAGTTTTAGGACAGCACTGGCTGTGTGAGAACCTGTGTCAAAATAATATATATACATATAAAATTCCCTAAAACAAAATAAGACCAAAATTATAAGCCAGAAAGCATTTCCTGCATGTTACAGAAAACATAAATATAATTAAAATGTAAATATTGTGAATGGCAATAAATTCAGAAGACAAACTAGGCATCACTGCCTGGGAAGACAGCTCACTCAGCAGACCACGTATCACAGGAGCATGGGGACCTAAGCTTTTATTCCCAGCACTCATATAAAAAAGCCAGGTTTGCTGTGTTGCCTAATCCCAAAGCCAAGGGAAGCAGAGACAACTGAATCCTTAGAGCTCTCTGGTAGCCAGCCAGACAAAACAGCTGGCACCAAGCTCAGTAAGATCCTGTCCTAAAAAAAGAAGGTGAAGAATGTCTGGGAAAGACACTCAGGGTCCATCTCTGGCCTCCCCACATACACGCACTTGCTTCTATGTGTACACATATCTACATGAACAGATGTATACAAATTACATATATACATACAATTAAGCATTCTTGATGAAGTGTATATTTGAAATATTTTCAGAATATTAATTCCATATATATTATTTTATTTATCAAATTGTGTCATATACATATATGGATTTCATTATATATATAAATAAATGGACTTATAGAAAGTGAGGCTCAAGTAATTACACATATAAAAATATTAATAGAATGTTCATTATGATCTCTACTAATTCCTCATTATTCTCTATAATATTCCTGTTCAGTTATAACCTTTCAAATGTATTTTAAAATATCTAAATATTTGACATAACTATGCTAGAGTTTTTAATTTAAGCCTTTGTTTTATATTAATCTCTCACTGCTTTTAAAACTTTTACCAAGTTATACATATGTGATTCTTTTTTTCTTTCTGGAAATGCCATTCTGTTCTGTTTCTATTCACTTTATGCTTGTTCTCGTGTCTTTTTTGTTTCACCCTTGCATTCTAAGCTTATCAATGTCTTGAAATAAAGGAGCACTTTTACTTTCTTGTAGTATAAAATGCAACTTTTATTGAAATATTTCAAAACTTACTCAGTTACTAACATTCATACCAAAACATATATTTCCATCTAACAGAATAGAATTCAGAAAATAACCTACGTCCCTCCATCTTTTGGAGGTGTATCTGTGGAAAAAGTCCAATGTTAAATTGACTTGAACATGGCTGACTCAGAAGTCCGAAGTTTCCCCCCATTAACTGTGATACATTCCATCATTTTATACAGAAACAAAGCCAGGAACAGAGATCAAATTCCCGTGGCGATACTGATTTGAGAGATTTAGTACATTTGAGATGATAATTAAACTGGAAAAGCTTCTCATAGGGAAGTGATAGATGAGGGCTAATTGTGCTTAACAAGTAGTGTAAGAAAAGGTCCTTTTCTTTAAGTGTCTTGACCTAATAGCCTTGAAAAAATGGCCGTGGATTGTCCAATTCTCAATATTTAGGGGGAAAAAAGGCTAAGTAGAGGACAAGAGACAGCATGTGAGACTTGCTGTGCCTTCCACCGTTCTATAAAAATGTACAAGTTGTACTTCTGTAACAAAAAAGTGTCCCGTAGTTGACACAGTGAACCTCAACCAAGGCAGAGCATCACCCATCTCAGGACCTTGGGGCACAACATGGAAATGTCAACATGTTTGTTCATTTTCAGATCACAGCAAGGCATAGCCAATGCATCACCAACACATTCAATGACTAATTGTGACCAAGAACTTCAGCTTTCATGGAAGATAACTTAGTTCTTTATTATAAATTCCACACCTTAGATTTCTACATCTTTTTATTTGTCCTTTTTGGGACAAGGTATTACTTGTAGCAGAGGTTGGTCTTGAACCTAAGTCCCTTCGCCGCCTCTACCTCTTCCCAAGAATTGGGATTCAGTCTGGGAAGATGCAGGAAAGAGTAGATTAGAGTGTGGATGCTTAAGGGGAGTTAGAAGCCAACAGAAGATGTGAGTGCAGGAAAGAGCCTCAGGGACAGAAGACAACTTGGGGTGAGAACAAGAAGAAGTGAGCAAAGAGCCTTTCGCAAATGTACCTTAGACTTGGGGTGAAGGGGAGTTAAGAGGAGTGTTGCCACTTCGGGAACTGCGCTACAGAAGGACCGTGGGTTTTAAGGTACAGAATTTAGATTTTATTTTGAAATGGAAAGGGGAAAACATGATTGGTTCCAATTATTTTACAAAGATGATTCTTGGGTTAGAGTAGAGGACTGTTTGAGAGCTGAAATATAGGTAAAGACAGAAAGGTTGATGACCAAACTAAGCTGCATCAGTAGCCATGGAAGTAACATTATAACAAGCCATGTACTGAATAAGAGGTGTTGATACATCTGACAACCAACTGGAGAGGGGCTGAAAGGAGCAAAGACAGTTCTGAAGGGCTATTTGGGGTGTCATTTCAGGAGACAGAAAAATGGCTTTGGCACATGAACTATAAAGTCACGTTGACTTGAGAGGTCATCTGCGTGGAGCCGTGTTACGAGGATTTGGAATGCTTGACTGAAGGGGCTAGGCTGATGCCAATATCCAAGTATCATTGAAGTGGAGTGGGATCATCAAGGCTACAAATGTGCTTATTCAAAACGTGAAGCATGAGAAGCCAGTGGATAGAGGACAGAGCTCAGGACAGGGGAAATGTACAGTGTGGGTGCAAGGACAACTGTACAATGACTAAATGTTGGTAGGAGAAACCAAGTGCCTGGAAGGAAGAATTTCACTGGGAAGTGGTTACTCTGCCAATAGCCCCACAGGCATTGAAGTGTGTCATGGGATGAGACCAGTAATGCAACTTTTAACAATTTTAAAAAGTCAACATTGGTAATTTCAATGAAATAAATTAGGGAACAAATTTTGAAAGCCTTCATAGAAGCTTTGATCAGATCAAACTTTTCTTCTAGCAGGCCACTTTCATTCCTCTCATCATTTTTTTGGAAGGCAATAATTTGAAATATTCATTCATTCAAGGAAGAAAGAAAAAAACTTTGTCACACTGCCACTGACTCAGGCAGAGTAAGAAAATGATGGAAATATTGTCCCTGTCTTCAGGTCCTTAATGTCAAGAAGTCTGGTTCATTGAGGCCACAAAGTTATGTACACAAATGGGCAAACAGTAGGAGTGTCAAAGCACAGTCTTGGACAGATATCTCACTGAGTAAGGGGAAATGACAAGGAAATGTTTGCCCTGCACTTTTCTATTGTTTTCATTCTTCTACAGTTTATTGACAGAGAAGGTGAACTTGAGTTTTGAATGAGTACTTATTAATTTAATTTTGTCTTACTATGACTTTCAAGACCCTACTTGATCAGTCTATGATTTTTTATCTGTGCTGTTATTCTCCACTACTAGTAACCAAATAAATTTATTGCTATTGGTTTCTGAATAATTTGGTGGTGAAATTCTCACAAGGCCAGCATTTACTGAAGCAGTATCTAATAGTTCATCTACACGGATGCATTTTCTCAGTAACTACTAAAAATCTTTCATTGCTCTCTTGTGGGGTAACTGAAAAATGCAACTTTGGATGTTATTTAAGAACACCCACATTTGAAAGATGGGTAACCACCATCTCCTGTTCATTACTAACCAAGTTTCATTCACAGTTTTCCTTTCCTATATCCTCAGGCACAGACTCTTCCAAAGTGCTTTCTCTTTCCACAGTTAAGTCTCCTTTCTCATTCCTTTAGAAGTCAATGCTGAAGGGATTCATCTGTCTCTATTGTCTTTATTTCTGTGTCCTGTGGTATTGCTAGGCATCCTAGATCTCTCTGTGTGTTAAAAGTTTTTTAACAGAAGAAAGGCGTAGTGTTAATTTTTAAATTTTGTCAATGACATAACACTTCATGCTTTAACCAGGACTACAGTGCTCACTGAAGAGCAGATACGTTCCCACATAAAATCATTCACAAACAGAAGCTAAATGTCAAATGGAGTGTAAATATTACACCTTTAGGCTATAGCATCTTACAAGTTCCCATTCAATTAAGAAAACTCCCGGAAACATTATTAGAGAGAAGTAAAATTAGCTGCAATTATGATAGCACATCAACGAGAGTGCAAAGAAGAGAGGAAACCTGTCTGGGAAATAAAGAAAAGCACAGCACCTGCAGAGTCATACCTAGAGCACCATTGACTCGCTCTGAACATATGTTTTTAATTTGACTTTGACGTATACTTTATTGATTCAAAAGAATGAGTGTTTCTGTCAACAGGCTTTCCAATAGCATATGTACAGGGATAAATGCACCTGCATCTTCACTGTGAATATGTAAATCCACAATCTGGCTCATTGTTAAGGCTCCTTTAACAAATGTCCATTTTCCACACAACTAATGATATCATTACAAACGAGTAACTGATTATAATAAATTTCTCTTCTGTGCAAAACTGGTGCCCACATCAAAAGTGTGCTACATCTAGTGCATTCACGCTGTGAGCCTGCCGTCTGGCTTTCTTCCCAGCAGCACTACTTAATTGCTAGGATCTGCACTCAGCAGGTATGTGGTAGGCATTCCCCGAGTCACTGAATACGAACTTTGTGTGACTAATCTTGTATAGAGTCAGCTGACATGCAGTTCAGAGGATCTAATAACACTAGCCATGGCCTCTCAACTACTGACTTGCCTGGGTTTAGAAGCAGGTAGGAGCCTAAACCCTGGCCTGTCTGTAAGGAGAGAGAAGATTTACCATCCATGCCTGGGATTCAGAGTGGACATTAAGGCAAGAGCACACTGAACAGCAGTGTTCATCTCTCTCTCACCACTGGGGGCACAATGAGACCACTGCCTTACCCTCCGACCACCATGCCTTCCCTCTGTGATGGACTGTGCCCTCTTGTGAGCCAAAATAAGCCTTTGCTTCCTTAAGTTACTAGTTAGTGTTTTACAGCAATGCGAAAGGCAACAAGAACAACACCGGATTCATGTCCCTTTCAGCTCTTCTCAGAGGAAAGTTAGGTAGCAGTTCATTGACCATCTCTGCACCCTTCCATAGTATTCCCTTTAAATGCACCATTTGCAAGTGTGGTTTAAAGAGAGCAGTCAACACAATTTTTGATCATCTCAATGTTGCCCTTGTGTATCATTAACAGAGACAGAGGGACTCGTAAAGGTTTGGCCATTGTTTTGATTTGCCACATATAAATTATATTCTGCAGAAAAAGTTGACACCAAATTCAATACACAAATTTCTTCTCATTGTTTTTAAAGTTTGTGTGGAGGTCAAAATATCTTGATATATAAACACTTTTACTTAAACACAGCTTTTATATAAAGTGAATAAATGTTCTTTAGAATTGCTTTCTTTTCTAAATCTACACTAAATTTCTTAAACAATAAAGAGTCTCTAAAAAAGCACACAAACAAAACAGTGACCCATAGCAATGGCAGCCAAGGGATCAGCATCTCCAATAATGGAAAAGGGGAAAACTAAAACCACAGCTGAACTCCCATTTAAAAACAATTTTTTTTTTTACCAACACTATTATGACATTTGCTTAGTAAAGATCTATCACTTCACAGTAAGTTTTAAATATTCAAAACCTTCTTTGGTGAAAAAAGTTGGCTGTCCAAGGCCTGTTAGCTGCAATAAAGCAAATGAAAACCTGGGCATTCTGACCCATCTGTAGAATTACTTCATCTCCATGAGAATAGCAAGTTTTATTAACTTTTCTCAATACGCATCTTTTTGAAGGTCTAACAAAAAGGAATATGTTTTCTGTTTCACAGAACCTTGGATGTTCAATAACAATTCATCTATTATATTTCAAACCTTTCAGGTAGAGTAACAGCTAAGAAATGTGTTCAGGCAAATTGGAAAGGAATTCTTTGAAAAAAATTAATTGAATTTCTTACAGGACAAAGAGGACATAATGTGTTTAATTCTTGACCATGTGTCAGAAAAAAGAACCATACAAGGATGCTACTGGTGTGAGCAGCATGTGATTTTTGAAAGACGTATTCTGCTTCTAATCATGAGGTTAAGGCCCACACTAACAATTGTTAATCTCTGCTTGGTTCTGCCATCTAAGATCCAACCAAGTGAGAGATTGACCCTCATAATTACCCCAGCCATTGGCTGCAAAGAGCTGAGCTAAGGGACACATTCTGCTGACAAAGTGAGCAAAATGCTTCCATGCAAACACATAAGTTCTCACTACAGCTGGGCCAGATCCCCCTGCTTTGGGTGTGATGAGAGAAAACAGTGACTGAAATTCATTTGTCTTTGCAAATACCTTCTTAACTTCAGGAATTTTGTGTTCTTCATTGACTTTAGAAGTTACAGGTGCTCGGAGTGCTATTGTGACTTGTCACATGAGTAGGCACGTTTGACTTTATCTTGAACAGACTCAAAACTTCAGTTAGGTTTCAGAATGAAGTCAACATTGTAAGGAGATGACTAACACGTCTTTTTCTGAAATGCTCTGTGTGTGGTTTAACACATACACCATGCCGTTCCTTAGCTGAGTCCTGTAGTTAGTTGTCCACCCTCAACATGCCCTCTACTTCATTTGTATTCCAATGTCTATATGAATCTTGCATGTGTGCAGGTGTTGTTGGGGATTGATTCCAGGACTTATATATGCTAAGCTAGTGTTCTACCAACTGAACCAAGCACACATGTGAGACTCTAACAAGAACTGCTAAACATATGGTGCTATTTACATGATGGTTGACTTACTGTACAGACTGTTTTAACATTCAGCTAGTGCCACAAACATAATACCTTTAATATATGTTACTACATACAAATTACCTGGCAGTGACTTAGACCATTTGACTACTGAGAGCAGCTGCCTCTCGCCTAGTTGGTTGAGACTGGTCAGCAAAGAGCTGGAAGTGTCGGGTTTTGTGTTGTCATGCCCTGCGTAGATCACATCAGGCTCAATGCTCAGGAGCAGGTTGATGAGTGGGGGAACCAGCTGGATTTCTTGATTTGGTGAAAAGGTGATTCTCTGGCCTAGGGTCTGGCTCTCATTAGGAAGGCCCGCTGACTGAGGGAGAGCAACGCCATCAAGGGCTCTCATAACTCGGACTTTATTGAACTTCTTAAACTTCCGACCTACAGAGAGGACAAAAGGGAGAGAACTTGGCGTAAACACAGGAATTCATCATCCTAGCAGTGTATTGTTTTCTTTAAGCCTTATAGTCACTGTGCGTACATTTTATCATGTATCTGAAAGTGAAACAAAGCCAGGCAGGCATGGTGACACAGACCTGTAATTCTAGTTCTTGAGAGGTGGAAGCAGGTGGATCAAGAGGACTTCAAAGCATCCTTCCTAAACTACACAGTGAGTTCAAAATCAACCTGGACTACATAAGACCTTGTCTCAATGAAAGAAAGAGAGAGAGAGGGAGAGGAAGAGAGAGAGAGGGGGAGGCAGAGGGAGAGGGGTGAATGGGAGGTGGGGGATCTTAGGCATAAGATTTGAGTTAAATAAAATCTGTACTCTCTGGGTTATCAGAGTATGTGTAGTCACATCAGGACCAAGCAGAAGTTATCAAGCTCTGAGTGAGAAGATTTATGGGATGGCAAGCAGCATTTTGGACACTAAAATCAGGATTGGTCAATTGTGTAACAGGATTGCCTTCCAAAGATCATGGCCCATGCTATGTTCACACAAACAGGGTTTACCACAATTGTGAGTCTTCTTTTGGATTTTTTTCTTTTAAGAATCTGTTATAATTCATGCACATCATGTAAACCCCACATCTTTCATACAATTTTGGTAGATTCATACATTTCTTGAAATCAACCCATGTACTGCTATAAGATCTAAACAAACAAAATTAATACTATTGTGATAGTTTGAATGCAATTGGCTCCCATAATCCCAAAGGGAGTGGCACTATTAGGAGGTGTGGCCTTGTTGAAGGGACTGTTTCACTGTGGGAGCAGGCTTTGAGATCTGTTTTGCTCAAGCTTTGCTCAGTGGGACAGACAGATAACTTCCTGTTGCTTGCAAGATGTAGAACTCTCAGCTACTTCTCCAGCACCATGTCTCCCTGTATGCTGCCATGTCCCACCATGACAATAATGTACTGAACCTCTGAACCTTAAACAAGCCACCCCAACGCAATGTTTTCTTTATGAGAGTTGCCGTGGTCATGGTGTCTCTTCACCGCAATAGCAACCTAACTAAGACAATTATCTTCCCTAAATTAAGGGAAGACAAAATTTTCACCCTGTGATCTGTGCTTGCAGAGCATATGTATTTCTAGTCAATTCATAGAATTTCTATTTTGGTGAATTATTTTATGTTCAGAAGAAAAATCACGATGGCAAGGAAGCAGAGTTTGCTTTTGAGAACATATTGATCTGTTGGCAGCCATACCATCCTGAAGGGACCCATACTCAGCTGATCTCAGAAGCTAAGCAGGGTCAGCCCTGCTTAACACTTGGATGGGAGAACAGATTAATGGGCACCTGGATGCTTACGTCGGCTGCTGCTTTTCAGATGCATGGGGAGTGAATCAGAGAAAGTCTTTGTGACTGAGTACAGGCTGGATTTCAGGCCCAACCTCCTAGGTCAGGCATAGCTTTTCACTATGAAGGGGATGTGTGTTGTGTGACTGAGTATAATGGTCCAGTTTTGTCCACCTGTGGCCAGTAGGCCACATGTGTTCAGGACAGCTATCACTGCATGTTGTGTGATATTTGGATTGTGTTTTGCTTGAAGTCAGACAGCAGAGATAGCCACTAGTTAAACATAGAGGTTTGGAGTTATAGATTACATAGAGAAGGACAGGAAGTGGTATAAGAGGGCTAAGACAGGATCTAGGCCCTTTTGGTCAGAGGAACAGAAGAATCACTGGTGGCTGCTCCCCTGTTCTCTTTCAGGTTTTTATCCCAATATCTGACTACTGGATTTGATTGAGAAGATTAATTAGATTTACATATCATCTGGCATCGAATTTTGGAGAACAAATTCACGAAATAGCCACTTTCCCATGGCTTTGCAACCATCAGCACCCACTGGAGCTGCACCCAGGAATTGCACCCAGTGGAATCACGGCACTGCCAGCTAGCTTTCCCTTTCTTCCCCAAGCCCACTGATTGAGTATGGGATTTTCCTGTTGCAGCCTCTCTGCAGCAATCTCCACAGGCACTTGGGCTCCAAATGCTACTGGAGTTAGCTCCTTACCACTGGCCAGCTCTGCCTTCAGACAGTTCCTACCACATGTGCTTCTTCTGCATGATCCCTTGTGTATGTTTTTCAGACAGTGGGCTCTCCCTCCCTGTGGGTTGTGGGCTTCCCCTGGACCACCTCCTTGCGCTGCACCCACACTAGGTGGCTGCCTTGACACGCACTTGGGCTTCTATTATTGTTGCAACCACCACACATTCTCAGCTCACAGCTACACACTAGCAGCTGCAGCTGTCCTCAGCAAGGCTGTGTGCCACCTCTGTTCTCTAATCAGATGTGCTACAAAGCGGCAGCCAGCTTTACACTTCACCAGCAACAGCAGCAGCAGCAGCAGATTTGGTGATACAGTTGGGAATTCTTAAAGGGGGGAATTAGTTAAAAAAAAAGAGAGAGTTCTTTATTAAAAATGAAAAACACTATTACCATGAAGGGAGTTAGGTCTGTATGATTGCATAATGGATGGTTTTAAAAGGGAACAATTAAATAAATGGATAATTAACTTAGTTGTGCTTCACATAATGTTAATTATAAGTATGATTGGTTTGATAATTCTTGTTTTATCCCTAAAAATGTTGGTTGATATGAGTGCCCAGATATAGACTTTAGGAAAAGTTACTAGAGCTGGGTGGTGGTGGTGGCGGCGGCGGCGGCGGCGGCGGTGGCGGCGGCGCACGCCTTTCATCTCAGCACTCAGGAGGCAGAGCTAGGCATATCTCTGTGAGTTTGATACCAGCCTGGTCTATGGAACAAGATCCAGGACAGGTACCAAAACTACACAGAGAAATCATGTCTCAAAAAAGAAAGAAAGAAAGAAAGAAAGAAAGAAAGAAAGAAAGAAAGAAAGAAAGAAAGAAAGAAAGAAAGAAAGAAAGAAAGAAAATTAAAGAAAAAGTTACTAGAGAAAACATTACCATTTTGACTGGTGTTACAAGCCTTAGAAAAACATACTAAAACAGGTAATAGAGATATTCAGTCAAAGACAGAGTAATTTAAAGGAGAACTAACCTCACCATTACATTGTAAAATTAGAGAGGAACACCCCAAGGTTATCAAACAACCAATCTTAATTTATCCAGTCACCTTATGGGAACAAGTGACACGTGACAAGTATTCCCAAGGTTATATAAGAGCTGATTGGATTCCTGTGGAAATACTAGATTTGAGGACATTCACTTTTTGTCATGGTTGACTAGAAAAACTTGGTTACAGCAGTATTGGAACCTGGTCCTCAATTACAGTGGATGATCTGGTAGAAAGATGAGGCTAGGATTATGGAACAATGAAATAGGGCTAGAGGTATTAAAATTTCCCAAAACCAACTTCTTGATGAGGGTGATTATTCGGATGTACAAAGACAGTCTATATATGATGACCACACCCTGGCTTTACCATGCAGCAGCTTTGAATGCTTGGGACAGAACTGAAGAAGCCAGAAAGAAAACTGAGTCATTTACCAAAGTTATACAGGGCCCAAAAGAAACATTCACTGATTTCTTTTTTACAAAGATTGATTTTAGTTGTAAATAGAATGAAACCAAATTCAGAAGCTAGACAAATCATAACTGAATCTTTTGCTTTTGAAAATGCTAATCCACAATGCAAAAGGGTAATTGGGCCTTTAAAGGCAAGGTCAGCACCCATAGATACAGTCAATATTGAATCTCATAGCCATGATGATGTGTGGTTAGGAGAGGTGATTTCCAGAGGCTTGAAGAAAAATCAAGATGTCAGGTATTTTAATTGTGGCAAACAAGGTCACCTAAAAGGGATTTTAGACAGGGCATTCCTAGAAACAATGTTTCTTCTAATCCAAACAAAAGGCCCTTGCCTTCTGGAGAATGCAGAAGGTGAGACAAAGGCTGACAATGGACCAATGAATGTAGATCAACAAGGGACAGACAGCGTAACCCTGTGCCATTGGGAAATGCCTTGAGGGTGGCGCATGCAGGGCCCCATGTCAAATTTGGATCAGTCATTCTCTGTCACCATGGGGGAAATTCCTCCCCAGAGCAATAATGCCTATTGTAAAAACAACAACAACAACAAAAAATATACTGCTCTGGATGATAGAACAACTTTAGAAGATAAAACAAAAATTTCAGAAGAAACCATAAAGCATGTATTTTGACAAACTTCTATAAATGATCAAAGACCAAAGCTAAAAATATGAATAAATGGCTTTGTTTTTGAAGGTCTTGTAGACACATGTGTAGATGTAACAATAATTGCTCCAGAATCTTGGCATCCAAATTGACCTCTTCAGGAGGTAAATGTTCAGCTTTTAGGGATTTGAACTTTATCTCAGGTAAAACAAAACACAAGATGGGTCAAATGTATAGAACCAGAAGGACAGAGGAAAATAAAAGCTATATATGGATAGTATAGCAATGAATTTATGGGGATATGATTTGTTACAGCAATGGAAATCCCAGATCAATATTCCTCCAATCTCAGAAACAAAACATAAACTAACACATGTTTCTGGGGAAAATATTAAAAGGTATTGTAGATGTAACCAGTCATCTTATTAAATAAGAAACACAGAACCAATGCAAAGAAGAAAGCCAAGAGGTCAGAGCTAAGAGCTAAAACCTTACCCTTCCTCCTGCGGTGGTCCTACCTCTCCGAACCAGAGCTGATTCCTGTGTGTCTGTCTTTTTATCGTGTTTCTGTTCTGCCTTCTCATTGGTTGTAAACCCAACCACATGACCGCCTCGTCATGGCCTGTCTGTATAGACCTCCAAGTTTTCTATTGATTGGTATTGAGATTAAAGGAAGGTGTATCCAAAACTGGCTGTATCCCTGAACACACAGAGACTTACCTAGCTCTGCCTAACAAGTGCTGGGATTACAAGCGTACGCCACCACTGCCATGCTTTCCTATGGCTTGCTAATAGCTCTGACCCCCGGGCTA